GAGTCCCCCACCACCGAGGGGCGCTGCGGGCTGAGCACTGTCCCAGCCGGGACACCGGACACCACTGCTAACAGACTCTGACCCCAAAGGTCGGGCTTAGGGCCTGCGGGGGGGGGGGGGGGGGGGGGGGGGGGGAGGGCTGCGTGGGAGCAGACACAACACGGGAGCTGTGCGGACCGGGCATGGCTCCCCTGCTTCTGAGGGCTGAGCCCTCCAACCTTGGTCCCTTCTCTGGGGACATCTCTTGGATCCCACCATTTTCCTGGGGCCAAATCACAAAGAGAAGGGAATTGGAGTCGCCTGCAAAGAGCTGACTCACAGACTTAAACTTTGCTTGAACACCTGCCTAGACATGTAGCTGGTGTTGGGGAGGCGGCGCACCGACCCCAGACAAGCAGGCAAGATGGGGCGCTCTGCCACCTGCAGTAGAGCTTCTTTTCCCATACAAGGTCCTCCCTTCCGCCCTGGCCGGGGTGGCTCAGTGGGTTGGGCACCTTCCCATGCACTGAAAGGTCGCCGGTTCAATTTCCGGTCAGGGCAGATGCCTAGATTTCAGGCTCAATCCCCAGTTGGGGGCGTGCGGGAAGCAGCTGATGGATGTTTCATGATGTTTCTCTTTCTCTCTCTCAAATCAACAAACAGCATCCTCAGGTGAGGGTAAAAAATCCGTCCCTTCCTGGGTGAGGTTCGTGGCCGAGTCCTCCACCCCAGGGCCACCCACGGGGCTGTAGGATGCTCAGGGTGACGGCCACAGTCCAAAGAAACCCGCCCTCCTAGGGCCAGCGTGTGGAAGAGAACAGTTACACTACACACAGGCGTATTTTTTGCAACAAAAGAAACTATTTATTTGGAATATGCATTACCAGTACAAATTAGGAGACTGTAAAATCTACACCGTGTTAGTATCATCATCGAGAACACAGAGCTTCCGTCGATCAAAGGAACGAAGCCGGTGCTCGCAGAAGCAGAAAAGCTTAACTTTCAAACCAAACAGGGCAGAGCTTCGAGGGTTACACTCTGAGTATAAGAGCAGGGAGGGAGCAGAGATAAACCAGCGGCCGAGGAACACTTCAAAATAACTGGAAGCGCCCAGGGGAAAGGGAGGAGTAAGCGAGAAAAGGGGGAAACGTTGAATGTTTCACTTATTTTAACAAAAGGCAGAACAAAACAAAACAAAAAGAGGTTACAAAAAATAAGATTCCAGAAAGCTTTGTGCAAGGGATGGAAACCATCAAGGCGATGTGAAAAGCGTGCTGCTGTTCGGCTGTGACTTCAAAGCAGCGGGCGGTTTGGGTGGAACCATAAGAAAGCACTGCTGCCGGCTGCTTCTCCAGTCCTCGCCGAGAGCTGAGAGAGGCCTGGGTGCTGGCTGCTCTTGGGACCCTCGGGCCTTTGTTAAAAGACAGAGGTGAAAAGAGAGCTCCTTCCTGGTGACACCGCCTCTTTTCTCCCGGACCGATAACAGCACCCGGGCCCAGCGGTCTCACCGGGTGCTGCACAGCAGCCAAAAGGCTGCGTGAGAATAACACCCGGGACCCTGACCCAAATCAGGGCCCCAGCCCATCCCAGTGCCCAGCCAATGCCATCCCAGCCGCCGGGAGGCTTCTGCGGGAGGAGGCGTCCTGGCCACCCCAGCTCCCTCCTCAGGGTGAAGGAAAGAGAGTGGCTCCTTGGCACTCACACAATAAGGCAAGAACTGCTCCTTTCAAGGCAAGGAAGGAGAACGGAGCCCTGACCATCCTCAGAGGCAGCCGGTGCACACACTCCGGGCGCAGGGAGCCACCGGGCGCCCACCGGGGCCTGATCCGTGACGCCAGCTCGATTCTGGGAACAAACCGAAGCAGCGAGAAACAGCCTCAGCGCGGCTGCCGCCTTTCACATCGCCTTGGTACATGTGTGAGGAATAAACACAGCAAGACCACAGTCCTGACGATTAAAAAAAGCACCCCATTAACAAACCAAAAATAACACAAAACAAAGCATCATCCTTTTTTTGTTGTTGTTATATTTTCAAGAGCAGGAATAAAGGGGGGAAAAGAATTCATTTCTGGGTCTCAAAGTTAAGAAACATAATAATGTGTTAGGTTGTACCTCTATGATGCTCACTATCCCAACTTTTTTTTTTTTTTTTCCTTTTTTCCCTTTTTTTTTAGTTTACAAAATGAGTTACGGTCACTTTAAACATCGTGGAACAGGAAATGGGTGTGCACAACTCGACACTTGTCTAGCATTCTTGAACTAATCCACAAATGCAGGAAAATAAAAGCAATGGGGGCGTGGCCAATGGGGGTCGTTCCGTGTGGAAACAAACGTGGCGATGAGGGCGTGGGCACGGAGGCGACCCCGTCCTGCTTTTCGTGCTGTGAGGGTCCTTTTTAAAACCTTTATTATAAACACTATTAAATCCAGACCGCGTTTTTGGTTTTTTTTTTTCCCTTTATCTGAATATACAAGAACATTCATTATCAAATGTTCGTCATCAGTACTACAAAGAACAAGACACGAGTCGCAAGAAACAATGGAAAATGTTAATAAAGCTGAGAGGATTGTTGAGTATCTTTTTAAAAAGTTTTCTTTAAATTTGAGTTTCTGTAGTTTTATCTTTTTTTTTGGTATCGAAGTCAGGTTTTTCTGGGCAGAAAAATAAAACTCAGAAGGAAAGGGGGGTGGGGTAGGGAGAGAAAAGGCAACCAGCAGCCAAATAAAACCATGTCACGAAGGTGCCACCAGGGAGAAGCGTGTGCGGGGTCCACCCCACCCAGGGAGCGAGGGTCGGCAAGGGGGCAATGAACAGTTACAGGGGGGCAAATCCCAGGGGATGCCGCTGCCAGGACACTGCGCTCCCATGTCCCCAGCCCATGGGGGGGGGGGGGAGGGAGGAGATGGGATTGAGGGGGAGGAGCCCCCAGGGCACTGCTGCCACAGGCCCAGTGCCCACCACTCTGCGCTCACATTTCACTGAACTTGAGAGCCTACATGGAGCCACGTTGGATGTGAGCGTGGCCGGGGAGGGAGAAGGGGACGGCACAGTGAGTGTGCTGCCACAGGGCGGGTGCCACGCTCTGCTCCCCTTTCTGCTGACCCAAAATGGAAACCCTGCCACCCGAATCCACCTTCCTGCGGCTCCAGGAGAACCTGCGCCCCAGGCCAGGCGTCTGCGAGGTGTTCCTGGTATTCTTGGCCTGCGTCCGCGTCCCTGCCCTCGGCACCCTGCGTGGAGCCCGACCTGGTGACGGCTCAGGGGCTCGGGCCCGACATGGCTTTCTCATGCTCCTCATCACACAATCCCAGCACCTACCACCTGTTCTCCCCTCCAACACACATGCCCACCGGCCATGCGGGAGTGTTTCTGCCCACTGGGCCGCGCCTCCAGCTGGTGGTCAGTGGGGCCTGGGCCGTGCCAGGCCCACCTTAGATTCAAGCACCAGCTGAGAGCCAGGCCCGGTGTTTCTGGTTTGGGAGGTTATCGCTGTTCTAAGGAACCGAACAGACCAGAGCAACCAAACAAGCAACAGCCACACCCCTCCCTTTGCCATCACGGTGGCGGTGACGGCAGGTCCCATGTGACAGACAGATCTTAGACCGGAAAGCCGTGCCTGCCTGGCCTGAGCGTTCCTCAGACGCTGCTCCCGACCTCGCCTGCAGCTCGGACACAAAGACCCCACGTCCTGTCCCACAAGCCCGGCCAAACCGTCTGCCTATCACAGATCCGGGAGCGAGGCCCCGAGAGCCGAGCACCGCGCCCTCGACAGGCCACCTGGAACAGCTTCCCTGCGCGTCTCTCTGCGCATGCCCACAGGAGACCATGCCCTCCGTCTCTGTCACTCGCAGGTCCTGGACAAGCCAGCAAACAGGCAACAAGCCAAGCGCTCACACCACCGCGTCCTTCAGACCCAGATGCAGTGCACAGAACTGGACAGGTCACGACACGTCCCCGGCGCCCGGACAAAACAGGACAGAGCACTCCATCACACACGTGCCCGCACCTCAGGCTCAGGTGGAGCCAGCAGAGCGGGTCCCTGGGAGCCGGCCTGCCCTGTGGGGTGGTTCTGGCATGCATGCATGCATGCCTGGGTGCATGTGTGTGTATGCATGTGTGTGTGCGCATGTGCATGCATGCTGGGGCCCCCGGTCCTAGACCATGTGGGCTAATTGCCTGTGTCCTTCACAGAGTTCCTCTCCTGGGCTCACAAGGAGGATGACATGGTTGCTAATGTAGGCATCTGTATGAGACATGTGGCTGATCATGGGGTGGTGCATGTGCCTACAGGTATGTGCGCACGTGCATGTGTGGGGAGGGCTCAGGAGAGAACCGCCTTCCTCTGTAATGATTTGGCACTGTGCTGACCCACACCTGGCTTCCAGCATCCTGCCCCCACGTCCGACTCTGAACCAGGAGCTGTCCAAGGACAACGAGCAGCCAGGACGCCGCCTCTCAGGCTGTACCCCTCCTGTCACTGACTGCCTGCCTGGCATCAGCTTGGTGGAGATGAACCCAGGACAGAGCGCCCTCAGAGCTGGCTGTGGCAGGACCCAGGGGAGCCGGGAGGGAGGCAGCGGTGGTTCCTGCCAGAGGTAGTGAGTGAGGGAGACAGGGTGCTGGGCACGGGCTCCATGAGGTAACGTGGCTCCTCAGACCACCAGCGTGAAAACATACAAATGCTTTTATTGTTTTCTTTGCGTTTTTTCTCTTGAAATCCCTCTAATGGTTGAAAGTATCCTTCAGTGACATGTAGAGGGCGGGGCCCAGGGAGTGGAGGGCAGGGAGGGTGGTGAGGGCACAGGCTGACGCTGCTGGCTGGAAGGCTGGCTTCTACCCAGAAAAGGGGACAGAGTATAAAGAAGTGTCCGGATTGGCCGGAGGGGCATCCCGGGAGGAGAGAGAGGAGCTCGTGGTGGCTGCTGATCGCTGCGCCTCCGGTCTGACCCCTTCAGCGTGGGAGACCTCCCTCCGGCCCCTCCCTCCGGGCGCAGGGCAGCGGGGATGGCGTGTGGGGAGGTCAGTTGGAGGTGTCGGAGTGGACGCTGCCAGGGCCTTCTGTAGGGGACGTCACTGATGAGGGGGTAGTCGCATCCTGCCAACCTCCATTAGCCTGGAAGGGAAGAAGGAGAGAAGTCAGGCCTGGAAGGGTGGTGGGAGCACAGGATGACTGACGGTGACGATGACAGGAGGAGCTGTGAGGAGGCAGATCAGGGCCTGCAGGGGGCACTCGACGGCAGGCTGTCCTTGTGGCTGCTACCCCCCCCCCCCTCAGTGACTGGGCCCCCCCTGTGCCAGTGACACAGAGTCCTGCCCCCGTGCCCTCCCGTCAGGTGAGGCCGCCTGCCCTGAAGGTCCAGAGGCCTGAGTCCCGGGGTGGCTCTGGTGGGCACTCCCACCCCTTGGCCTGGAGTTCCCCTGAGAAACACAAAAAGGTGCCCAACTGCCTCCGAAGGGCCCTTCCAGCTCGGAGCTCCCTAAATCCGGGTCCCAGGCGCCTCGGCACATGTCAATGGCGGGCGCTCCTGTCCTCAGCGGGGCACTGGGCACAGGCAGGTTAACTGTGGCTCAAGGCGGGACCTCCGCAAGCACAGCCCGGCTGCCAGCGAGGGTCCACGAAGGCGAACCCCGTCTGGTGGGAGCGCCAGGAGCTCCACGGAGGGTGCCCAGGGCGACCAGGGAGAAGGGGCGCTCCGCAGAGCCTCGGCCTGGCCTGGGGCAAGTGCTGGGAGCCGACGCCTGGTCTTCATTTGCACATCCTTTTCCAACACTTAGTCCAGAACATCCCAACAGCAGCACTGTTCCCACAGGGCCTGACAGCCCAGGCCGGAGGTGCTGCGGCGGTGACATCATGACCCGCCCTCCTTTGCCCACAGACTGGGTGCAGCGACAGTGTGAGTGCGAAAGGCAGTACTCGCATTCCCTCCCCGGTAACAGCCCTCTGCTCCCAACACGTGACTAAGGCCCAGACAGGCCTGGCGCTCCTGGAACCCCTGGGCCCACAGGGCAGGGGTGACTACGGCATTTGAGCGGGGGAGGGGGACACCTCCTCCCCGCAGCAGGAGGGGAGGTCCCCACCGTCACAGAAGAGCCAATCTGGACACATTTCCTAGACCAGAAAACTAGGCTTTCACAACAGCCACGGTTTTGGGAGCCAAAGGTTTCAGCACTGATCCCCCTTCTGCCACCTGCTCGGAGCTGGCCCAGGGGCTGCCTGCCTGGGTCCCGAGCAATACATGCTTTGAGCCCAGAGCAGAGCTGGCTGGGCTGAGGCCCGGCCCACCCTTCCCTCCTTCCTCTGACTCACCTTTGTGGCACAGGGTTGATGCAGAGAATTCATCACCGAATGTGACAGTGAAAGTGAGCTGGGCACTAAGAAACTCTCATTTACAACCCAGAACTCCGCTGAGGCACCACAAAGAGGCTGATGTCAGCACGCTAGGAGCTCGGTCTGCACACAGCCAGATGCCTGCAGCCCAGCCCGGGCGTGGCTGGCAGAGAGCTCAGGGCTGTGCCCGGCACCGGTGGGCCGGCCAGGGAGGGAAACACAGAGGCACCCCACCCCGTGATACACACGACACCCACACGCTCACCAGGGCGGTCACAGGCAGAGCCACGTTTCCCACCAGGTTCCCCGGCAGGCACGGTTTTCCAGCGTGTCACAGGGAGCGCTTTCCGAGAGCTGCTCTGGTTGCCAGGATGCTCCCTGGGAAATTTCAGCCTGGCCACTGCAGTCCCATCTCGAGCTGTGACCTTTAAAAATGCAGTCTGATCTCCAATCCTCTCCTCCCCCACCTTCAGTGGCTTCGAGCAGAGGGTCCATGTTCTCCTCAGGCCTGGGCTTCCTGCCGGCTCAATGCTCATGGCTGATGCTCCCACACCCCTCCCGCTACTCCTCTGCTCAGGGGTTCCCACAGAGGCGAGCCATTCCCCCAGCCACCCCCCCATACACACACACACCTGCAGTCTCCAACCTTGAGGGGCACACGTGTCCCATGTGCCCCTAGCTTAGTCTCCTGGGGGCAGCCCTGTCTTCACCCACTTCCACGTCACCCACCAGACCAACCATGAGCACCACCGTGGGGCTCTGGCCAATTCCAAGCTGCCTACCAGTGCCTCACCTCACAGGTGTCAGACAATGTCTGTGAGGGGACATGTTGTGGCCCTGGCTGTGGAGAGAGATGTGGTCTCAGGTCAGTGACCTCCATGACCATTTATACCAAGCCCTGCACACCCAGGAAACAGCCGAGACAGCCTGGCCGCCTGTACTTGGCCACGTACACCCAGGAAATGCCGAGACAGAGCCTGGCCACCTGTACTTGGCCATGAACACTCTGGAACAGCCGAGACAGAGCCTGGCCGCCTGTACTTGGCCATGTACACCCAGGTAACAGCTGAGACAGAGCCTTGACAGCCTGCACTAAGACACATACACCCAGGCTTACCTCCCGACATGCCACCTTGTGCAGGACCACCCTGCTGGTCAGCTCGGCTTATGTTACACTGCACCGCGGGGTCCTGGCTGAGACTGTACAGTAAGGCGGTCAACCTGCCCTATGTCCATTGGTGACACGTGACCTCTCTTGTTACAAGTCACTTCTGTGCCATGCCATCTAGGGTGCCCTGTCACAATCCAGACACAACCCTTCCTGCCCTGTGCCCACCCCACACCATCCTGCCAGCACCCAGTGCCAGGGAACTGAGGGGCACCTGTCAGTGGGCTCTGGGATCAAGATCTACCCTGGCACCTTCTCAGCTGCATTCTTTTCTGTTTCACTTGTTTCGAACACCCAGCATTCATGCCATTGTGTGAGGCACTTGGACACAGGAGGGCTGGTTGAGGCCGTCCCCTCACGCAGTGCATTTCCCAGCTTTAGGGCCAGGTGCTTTCCTATTTGTATTAAAAATGCAAATGTGACTGTTAGGCATAATGTTTCCACATCCTGCAGACCTGTGGACTCCGCAGGTTTGATGTATACACAGGAAGCTAAAACTTACGATTTGTTTAACTTTTCAGAGAAAAACAAAACTCAGTTTGCCTGAGCTAAATAGAGGTGTATTAGGGCAGAAAATTATTTCTATCTGAATAGAAACTCTCCACACTCAGATCTGCAAAACCCCAGACGTGTCTCTTTACACACATCAGCACAGTGTGCAGAACGCACAATGCATGAGCACACATTCAGAACATTCAGAACACACACACACACACACACACACACACACACACACACACACACGTGGGCGCGCTGTAGGAAAAAGGCTGTAAGAGACTATTATTTTTACTCATATAGCCAAATCTGGATAATTCAAGCAGAGGGTATTTTGTCTCTCAGTATAAATGATCTGATGGGCTGACTCTATACATACAGCGCTAAGTTTCTCATTTTGTTGGTATAACCTCTGATTTTGCTTTCCTTTGTTGAAAGATAGCTTTTCCTCACGGTGCACAGAGAGGCTAACGCACACACTTCCACGGAGCATGCACACCACGGGGGGGCGGACACCTCAAGGCCACTGACCATCACGCAGAAGCTGAAGCCCCTCTCCCTGTCTGCCGTCTACACAGCCATCACCCAGATAACCAGCCCCGCAGTGACATGCCGCGGAGAGAGGAGCCAACTCCACACCCAGAGACTGGCACATTCAAGTACACCGAGGACAGTAATAGCAACTTACATGCCACCACCGAGACAAAGCCACAAAGGCCGCGCTGGCAGCCTCTTATTTTGAAGCCTATTATTTGTGGGAGGTACAAGCTATAATCACAACAGAAACTTTCAAAACCCTTATCCTCCGTGATGCACCAAATCTATTTCCGAGCCCTAATTGCTATGTCACCAGAGAGCTGGCTGCTTAATGTGCTCAAATGGCGCTGAGAGCTTGCAGGGCTGCAGCACACAGAGCGTGCAGGGTGGGGGGTGGGGTGCAGGGCACAGCCTTCCTGCTGCCTTGTTCATCCCGGAGGCATCTCGCTCAGAACTGCTTACAGGTGACGCGAGAGAAAGGCTTGAAGACCGCCAGCACGCAGACTGCAAACGCACCCGCCCACCCACGGCACATCCTTGATGCGGGCACACACTCGTTAGGCTGGATTCTTGTCCACATGGAACATGGGTAGACTTTTTAAATTTTATTTTTTCCCCTTTTATATTGTCCCAGAAATGTGTGCGGTGGAAAGACCCCAGCCATGTGGCGGGCTAGGGGGTCCGGCGAAGCCAGGGCAATGACTAGACGGAGAGAGAAGGTATTCTATATTCCCACTGCAGCTCGGTTCTTTTCCTTTTAAAATAGTACCGCTAACAGATCTGCCTTTAGGTCTCCGAGGATAGCAATGGCTTTCCTGCTGCTGAACGTTCCACTGAGATAAGCAGGATGAGACGTGGGGTGGGGAGGCCTCCTTCACGGTGCCCCGCCATCTAGAAGCAGAGTTTTCTCCATTTCCAAACTCTCCAGGGAGGGGCGGGGCATCATCTTATGGAAGATGAATGCCTGGAGGTCACTGAGAAAAAGATGGACATTTCAAGAACACATTTACAAGGCTAATAAACAGGAAGAAATTCATTAGTAATCAAAGAGAAACAAATTAAAGCCAAGTAAAAGCGAGATACCCTTTTATGATTTAAAGGCCCAGTGCACAAATTCATGCACATTGAAAGAAAATTAATTAGAATAAATAATTTAATATTGTTCTTTGCCCTTTCTCTAAACAGAGTGTCAACCAAAGTCATGATCGACAATGACAGATCGAAACATGCATGTGCGACTGGCTAGAGCTTCATGTGTATCGTGCGTGTGTGAATCAACTTAGCCTTTTATAGATACAGAGTAAACTTGCTTAATTAGACCTGCTTTCTGATGTAGCTGAAGTTTTCCAGCCCAGAGAAGCACCCCAACTTCTCTTTCAGGTAACTGTCAGCAACAAAACAATAAATATCAACACGAAGCAGATTATTGTTGTAGGTCGTGCAGGGAGAACAAAGGGCGAAATATTTAACTACGGCTGTTTGACTATATTCTTCGCGATGAGAAAAACCCGAGTCATTTTCAAGGTCCACCATTTCTTATTTCTTTTCAGCCGCTTCAAGTTTCTATCCTTTCCAAATTTCCATT